CCACCTCCCCCTCCCCCACCACCGCTCCGTGGAGCACCACCTCCTCCACCATTGCCTGAGGGTGGTCCACCGCCACCACCTCCGCCGATACGGGGGCCACCGCCTCCACCACCTCCACCTGGAGGCCGTGCACCTAGACCGCCTCCACCACCTCCATCAGGAGGCCGTGCACCTGGACCGCCTCCACCACCTCCACCTGGAGGCCGTGCTCCTGGACCGCCTCCACCACCTCCACCAGGAGGCCGTGCACCTGGACCGCCTCCACCACCTGGACCACCAAGACCTCCAGGTGTTGGCCCTCCACCACCTCCACCTGGAGGTCGTGCACCTGGACCTCCAAGCTTTGGCCCTCCTCCACCTAGGGGTCGAGGACTTGTGCGGCCTGCTGGAATGGCTGCAGCACCTCGAAGATCTAACTTAAAACCACTGCATTGGAGCAAGGTTACGAGAGCATTGCAAGGGAGCTTGTGGGAAGAATTGCAAAGACCTGGAGAACCCCAGAGGTATCGCGTTTTCTGCACCGTTCTGTAAAGAATGTGTCTCTATTTCATATGAGGAAAGAAATAGTTGTCATGAAAAGCATATGATCATCTTTCAAGATAAATTGTTTGCATAGGGCAGATTACATGCACATGGGCATTACTTATGCATACACTTTTATACACATTTTCAGATGGTTGACGTGTTTTCTGATGACTATATTTTCCTTTATGTTGCTTGCCCTTTCCCCATGATGTATTTCATTCTAAGACCCATGTATGTTACTGAATTGTAGTGCACCAGATTTTGATGTGTCAGAACTTGAGTCACTATTCTCTGCCATAGTCCCAAAGAAAGATAGTTCTAAAGGAGGAGGGCGGCGGAAGTCTACTGGTTCAAAACCTGAACAAGTCAACTTGGTAATGCAATGCAAGTTAATTAATTATCTCATCCTTGAAATTGTTTTTACTTATATTAGATAAAATGGCATACCTTTTCAAAGCAGATGAATATCCTTATTGGTAGTCGTAGTAGTTCCAAATTTTGGTCTTATTTCTCCTGGATTGCCTGGCTATTCATGTAAACAACTAATAGAAGCAAAGAATAGCAAGTATTGTTTGAGTTTCTTGAACTTCTTTTTTTGGACTTACTTTGCAAGTAACCTGTTGAACTGAGAACTTCATACTTTGTGTTCGTCTCAAGTGACTGTGCATCTTAAGCACACCCCTTTCGAAAATGTATCCAACAGTTGCAAATAACTTACTTACAAATCTGTTTAATGTCCTGAAGAATAACATGACTAGCATTCGTTATTTATAGTGCAAATAGGCAAGTTGATAACATATGCAATGTAGAAATAATATTTTCATAAATGCATGGCAAGAGTTGCTATTTATATCGGTGCTTTATTTTCTGTTTGTGCACTATGACCTTAAGAGTGCTCTCCCATCTTTCTTTTTGCTATCCATTCTATTCCTTTTAAAAAATGTGAATACTATAGGTTACAGTTGAATTATGTGCCATGTTCATCTGTGTGAGTGCCTGCATTGTGCACGGATATAGAAACTACAACTCGTTCCTGCACAATTCATTTATTAGTAACTTGGTTTATGATGGGCCATTAAAACTGGGAACTGAAGCGTTATATGAGCTTTCATGAAAAGGGTCTAGTTGGCCATATGTTGTGTGATGCTAGGCAATTCGGTGCTTTTTATATTGTTCACTAAGTTGAGTGATAAGGCAAGTTTACTCTCATGAGTAACACCGTATATGGGCACAAGGATCTGTGTAAATTAGGAGTCTTAAATTTAACGTAATGCCCCGGCTGGGTAAATACTAAAAATATCAAAATATGTTCCATGCAAGATTGTTAACACCATATAGAAATTTAAGCTGGCGTGTTAGAACTAATTAAACCTCAAATATATCATCAAGTAAAACATGCACCTCAAATATATCATCAAGTAAAACATGCAGGATTGCCTGCTAAGTTCCTCCACTACTACTAGGGGCATAAAGTCCTCCCTCCTCATTTTGCTCATCTCTCTGTGTCACACTATGTTTGTTACTCTAGAATCTAGATGCAAACACATACATGGATCTATACATATGTTTATACATGTAATAAATATACACGTATTTATTTGGGATCCCCCCTATGGATAATTTTAAACAAGGCCTATATATGTATATCATTGTATTTATAAACAGGCCATGCATATGCAGTAACCCCACTTATTAATTTAAAAAAATTATTCTTTTCTATGCAGGGTATTTCACCTATCATAGAAAAAAGATGCGGGGTAATAACTCCCACATTACTAAGTAGAATAAAAACAATAGTCACTTGGATCTTTTCCTAATCTTTTGATTAGTGAGATGAAAGTAAAGAATCTAACAATTCTGCCTATTCAAACAATATTCTCGCTCTTAAATAATACTATCTCTTCGACCCACCACTTTTTTTCTACGCAGACTTCTTTAGTTAAATATACAAAATTGATTTTCTCTATATGTAAAAAACATTCTCTTGCAATCCAAAAGCTATTATGACATGCTGCGATTATTTCCTCACATTATAGAAGCTTTTGGGTTGGAGATGAGGATGATGAATAGTCAGACCCATCAATGACTCAAAGCTCAAAGCTCAAACTACTAATGGGTGATTGATTGGGGGAACTTTTGGGACCTTCCACCTTCAGGACAATGTGTATTTGGGAAAAGGTTTCACATGTTTTTTCCATATATGGCTAGGATTTAAGGTATTGATTAGCATATATTTGTTTCACATTATGTTTGTTTCATATGTATTAGATTCATAGGTGAAGGATCACGTGAGAAGGGAAGTTACAGTGAGAAGCGTAAGAAGAGATCTGAATCCTTGATCACTTTTAATTTCATGCCCACCCATGAATTGGATTTTAGAAGGGAATTGACCCGGTGCATCTCGGTGCACCTCATTAGTATTGACATTCAATTAAGATTGATCCAAGGGTGGAGATCTCTTCTTACGCTTCTCACCATAACTTCCCATTCTCACTGGAACCCAATCCAAATTCATAATGTGAAACTTTTATAACGTGTATTTTTTGTTTCACAAAAAACCTAAAGTAGTTTCACATTGTGAAACAAATAAATGTGAACAATCACATTGTGAAACATACATACGTGAATTAATACTCTAAGTCCTAGCCTTAGACGAAAAAAAAATGTGAAATAGCTCATGATGCACAGTTGTTAGGGTTCTCACAGTTTTGTGGGTTCTTGAATGATTAGCCCCCTGTATATATAGGGAAATTCAAATAAGAAAGGCAAAAAGGTTGAGAACACACCAATAAATGAATCATATGTGAATCATCGGTAAAAGGAAAAGCGGGTTCACACATGCATCTTCATGTGCGAGTAATTGGTAAAAAGGTAGGTAAGAGAATGTGGTTCAGATATGCATCTTAAAATGAATTTTTTCGGGTTCACATATTAATCGTTTATACATGCGTTCTCAACCTTTTTGCCTTTCTTATATGAACCTTCCCTATGTATGTATGTATGTATATGGTGGTTTCAAGAGACCCCCCCCCCCCCCCCCCAAAAAAAAAAAGAAAAGAAAAAGAGAACAAGTGAATACATCACATCCATCCATCCATTTTATTTAATGATTGTGAAAGATATGTCTTAATTAAAAAGGATATTTTGTTACTTTTGCAGAATTAGAAACCAACCAACTAAGGAAACTCCTTGATTCTAGGGACCACTTACATATCCTCAAATGGAGATCCATTTCTCTCCTACTTGTTTAGTTTGTAAATCCTTTCAAAGATTTTGTATTTGATTTGTTGAAGATTGAGATAAATCATACCATTCTCTGTCGATTTTTTAAGTATAGCAATCAGAAGTAAATAAATGATAAATTTATGAAGCGTATTTTAAAACAATTGGTTTTTAATTGGATTGAAATCAAAGGAAATTGTGTTAATGCATCTTGGGTTAATGTAAAATGGTATTATCTTAGTTAATATTTACATGTGAATATGGTACTGCTATATATTGTGAATGCATTTATTTGTTGTTAATAAGTGATTTTACTGCAATTTGATGAGTTGGTATTCACATGTGAATATGTTATAAGTAAGTTTGAGTAATATATAAGGTCACATATGCGTGTTGGGTAAATGTAAATGGTTTTATATTAGTTAATATTAACATGTGAATATCATTCTGCTATATCTATTGTGAATGCATTTGTTTGTTGTTAAAAAGTGATTTCACTTAAATTGAATGGGTTGATATTCATAAGTGAATATGTTATAAGTTAATTTGAGTATTTATTTATTGTACCTGCTTATGCATAGTTTGCACATAATTTTTACATGCCAATGTGTACTTCAGTAGCAATTTACAGTTGTATTCACATGCGAATAATTTTATAAGTTCATGTGTGTTTTGGGCAAGTGTGAATGGTTTCATATGAGTTAATATTCACATATGAATATGGTACTACTATATGTATTGTGAATGCATTTATTTGTTGTCATTAATTGGTGATTTTACCGCAGTTAAAGTAGTTAATATTCACAATTTGAATATGTTATAGGTAAATTTGAGTATTTATTTATTGTACATATATAGATGTTTACATGTTAAATTTATACTTGATCAACAAATTACAGTTGGTCACATTTGAATTGTACATGCAAGGATGCAGTTGATATTCGCATACGAATAAATCTGTAACTAATAACTATTGACATGTGAATAAACATCTGAGGAAACAATATGTATAAATCAAAATTTTATAGCTAAAATACCTACATTAAGATAAAAGAAGTTTAGAATAAACTCAAAAAAACCTAATTCGAACATTTGCAGCTAAATACCCATAGGCGGCTAGTGTTTGAATACGAATGGGAAGCACATAGGAAAAAAGAGAGGGCCATTTATGTTTAGGACTTTAGGTAACAAAAAATGAGTCCCAAAATTTTGCATAATTTTAGGAAATAAGTAATTGATAAGGGATGATTGCGCCAACATAGGTAGTTTCAAAACGATACCCGGGATTGATATTTACTTCTTTTTCAATTATACCTCCATTTATAGTGTTATCCTTGAACAATTATCCTTATGATTCAAATTAACCATGGATTTGCCACTCAAATTTGGGCCATTTATCTTTTTGATCTAATGGATGAGGCGTGTTCCCGTGTTCTCCTCTCTCTGTGTATCAGAAACATACACACAAAATGTTACCATATAATTTATATGGTAATCATATAAGGGAAACGTAACCAGATCTCCAAAAGGCACGCCATGGCATACGACAAGCCTCGACGCCACATTAAGCCCATAGCGTATGTGTAAGGCTTGGCTCACGCCATGGTGGTTTGAGGTGCACCATGGTGTGCCGTTGTGTGCATTTTTTGCTAGGTGTGACTGTTTTTTTTTTATATTTTATTTTACCTTTGTGTGTTAGTATTGGAGATAAATGTAGGCTTCTTCATCTTAAGCTTATACATATGATATAATCTAACACACTTTTTGCAACGAACATGTACATCACTTTTTGTATATAATTTTCTCTTCCCTTTACACATCACATTGTTCTTTACCCAAAAAGAAACACACAAGAATATCACATGTAAGCACTTTCTATGATATCAATATATATTATCTTCTTCTTCTAATATGAATTCAAATTGTTTAATATCATTATCTCATTAAATAATTGTAAAACACACACACACACACACACACATATATATATATATAGAGAGAGGGGGAGGGGGGAGGATGAAACGAGAACAGGGTTAAAATAAAAGAATAAGAAAAGGGTAAATCGCATGTGATTTTACATGCGATTGTAGAACACGGTCAACACAATGGTGAGCGGGCGACCTGGCCCGCGACGTCAAGTCGTGTGAATCACATGTGATTTTAGTGTAAAATCACACTTGATTCGGCCGTTTTCGTGTTCTCTTAATTTGTTATTGTTCTCGTATAAACCAGACTATATATATGTATGTATGTAGACTTAGGTTCACGGGAAAACCACAAAAAAATGAAAAACTGAGGAACGCTCTAATAATCATTCATCTGTGTGGTTATGCACATGTGCATGTGCTTAAAAGTAATTGAAAATGTTACCGGGTTTCTATGCATGTGTGCATTTTATGCACGTGTATACTGGACAAATTACTTTGATGCACATTTGCATACCATACAGATGAATGGTTATTGGGGTGTTCCTTAGTTTTCCATTTTTTTGTGGTTTACCCGTGAACCTAACCCTATATATTTATACATATAATCATACATATGATATACAAGTTTGCTGCCTCAGGTCACACCTTGAAAAACAGTGCTCGTCGCTGTGCATGTAAGGCTTGATCTCGCTGTCATGCTACGCCTCACACCATTTAGAACCTTGAACGCAACAACTATATACTATTACCATAATTAAATAGCTTTATATATAGGCAATTAGTGGAGGATAAATGGCATGCTTGATTTTTTTTATAGTTGGTGAATATTCAATTAAGCATATTGGGACACAACATTCCTCCCAGAAGTTGGTAATTTTGTATTTGTATTCGGTTTGGTTAATAAAATCGTGACAGGTTCTACCAGTGCAAGAGCAACTGTTTAGCTTGATCCTATTAATACATGGTGCTCAAAATGATTGTCTAGTTTTATGTAACTTAGAACACACATGCTTCTTGTTACTGCCCACTGTTTTTTGTAGGTCTCCTGTGAATGGTGTTTATGACCAATCATCACTTTTAGAATCTTGATTTTCTTGTGAACTCTTTGAAAATGGACTCCATGAGTTCATAATATGTGCCATTGAGCATCCAGTGTTTTTTTTATGTATATTGACCTTTTCTTTTTTGCTTTTGCAATTCTGTTTATTAGATTGATCTGAGGAGGGCTAATAACACGTTAATCATGCTCACGAAAGTGAAAATGCCGCTTCCTGACATGATGGTAAGTGTGGACTTTATATACTAACAGAACATCTTGATGTATTCGGCTTCTTGAATTTGCATTTTGATGCTTAGTTCTCTTTCCCAAGTTAGTTACATGTCTGAATGGAGTTTTTACATTTTACTTTCTATTGGAAGATTTGAATAGATATGCTTCAGCTTCCAAGTGTAGCGCTTTCTGTTTGAACAAAACTGCACTCATTACAATGCATGCCACATGGCTACATCGAAAGAATCGCTCTATCTCCAGTTCCTTGTATCGTTTGTTTATTTCCAGTGACAATGTTAAATGCATCTATCAGGTTTTGGCTATGTTGCATATCCTCACATAGTTGTCTCTAAGAGAGTGCCTGTATATCTTTAACAGTGTGATAATAGTTCCCAAGATTGAATGCTCTAATTTCTCCATTACTCTACTTATTTCTTGTGAAGAAGAACATCCAACTCACGGCAGCTAAGCTTGTACTAAACTAGTGGGGTGGTATGACTGGGAGTATTAGGAAAGCAGAATGTGGCTGAAGAAATGAAGAGAATGGTCAGATTAAGAATCTATAAAGAGAGAGTGAAGAAATAAAGATATATAAGCATATTACATAAAAGAAATGAGCTCTCTAATCAAGCTAATATCCATATTACTTTTAGCAAGTCATAGTCTGGTTGGCTTGGCACATTCCTCCAGTTTCTCCTATTAAACGGCCCGACTCGAAGTTATTCCAGCTTACAATTGCAACTCTTGTGAGCTTATCTTCAAAAATTGCATTTCATCTCTCGCGTGCTTTTAAAAGTTTGCTATAATGGAACTATCTGAAAGATGTCTCCTTTTTCATTAAATGTAGTCACCCTAGGGCCTTTTCTGAACATCCTTACAGCTAAACTCTCATTTTGTAAACATGTGAACCCTTTCTTTTGTTTCTGGATCTTGTATGCTTTTTGGAACGCTTTATTTTTTTCACGAACTTCTTCATGCAAATCCTATACTAAAATATCTGTGTTTGGAGAAAAAAATTTCTTATGCTGCTTCTAATTCTTAACTTAAGCTCTCCGATTAATTCTTGATATGGAATAAATGGCAGTGCGTAGATTGTTATTTGTCATGCCAGTGAGTTTAAAACCAATTTTATTTGACATCTGCAGGCTGCAGCTTTAGCTATGGATGAATCAATCTTAGACGCTGATCAAGTAGAGAATCTTATCAAATTCTGTCCTACTAAAGAAGAGATGGAGCTTCTCAAGGTGAACTAACTTTCTAAAATATGTTTATTTACCCTGCCATTATTGATGGGACTCCCATTCATATATTGATCTTCTGCATTTCAACTGTTCAGAATTATACAGGTGCCAAGGAGACCCTGGGCAAGTGTGAACAGGTTGGTAGCCTGGTCGTGGATTATCATCTTTTTTATGTACATTTTTATGATGCATGTGTGTACGACTTTAGTAGCGTCTGTAGTCAGACTGCCAGGACTTTTGGTACATTAATCAATTATAACTTGCTATAGTCTGACATTTTTCAGATGGAATAAATTAACTAGTGGTTATTTCTTTATCTTCCCACTTTGTCTGATGATCCTTAAAAACTTGGTCTGGGACTAAGTCCTGTATGTATGCTTGTCAAATAGTGGTATCGTATGCTCTTCTTTTACCCATTTATTTATTAATTCAAAGATATGTGAACCAAATTATGCACATTTTGGCATTCTTTTTATTTATGCTGTCGGCTATGTAGAAGGGCACATGCTGCACTCTTATCCTTCGGTTTCCACTTTATATTCCGATATTATTTTTCATTGTAATTGGCATACCGACTATTTTTTGTTACTTGTCTTTTTTCTTTTGACTTGGCACACAGTTAATAGATCTTCATTGGCTGCAACACAAGTTAATGTGGTTGCTGCCCTTCCCCCTGTATTAGATGTGAACATGATTAAAACAAGTAATGCTGAAATATTCCTTAATTCTTCATAACAACTTGAAAATGTGACAAATCCACACAAAACTGTATAGGCATATAAGAGAATGTAACAATGATGAATAGTGACTGTTAGTTTCTGAACCCATGGTATTAATTAGAGGGTATGTACTACAAGATGACATGTGTGCTTTAAAAGTAGACTCTTCCTGTGGAAAAGATAAAGGCCGACAAAAAGTGTGGAATTCAGTGGAGTTTGGTAAGGAAGAATTTGAGGCTGTGCTGTTTACCTTTGAATGCTCTTAATTTTTAAATTTACCTCCCAGTTCTTCCTGGAGCTCATGAAGGTGCCACGAGTGGAATCGAAGTTACGGGTTTTTTTGTTCAAAATTCAATTCAACACCCAGGTATTCCTTTTATGTTCTTATTTGAGTCAACTAATCACATTTTGATGTTACCATTTTTTTTTTCCTTTTGTTTATTGTTATATCATTATCTCATTTTGACCTTTCTTTCAGCTTTCAGAGTTTAAGAAGAGTTTGAACACTGTAAACTCTGCATGTGATGAGGTACTTTGATATACAAATTGATGCTGTTTATAATCTTTACGTATTTATATTATTTTACCTTATTGAGTTCTCTTGCTGTTAATAGGTCCGGACCTCCGTTAAGTTGAAGGAAATCATGAAGAGAATTTTGTATTTGGGGAATACATTAAATCAAGGAACTGCTAGAGGTAAGAACATCACTAGCGGAATACTTCATGTATGACCAAGGAAAATCTGTAGTGTGTATTTTTTCTGTTGTTACCAAGGTTTGTATGCTCTTTCGGAATACATCCTTGCCCACTACAATTCTCTTAGGCTGCGTTTGGTACACTGGACAGGACATAAAAGAAAAGGGATAACTGTTCCATGTTTGGTAGGACTTTTATGTGGAACGGGCGTGTTCGACCCCACCCCATGGAACAAGGTGGAACACGCATATATTTTACCAATATAACCTCAAAATAAAACCCAATTCTCTTCTAAAACATTAAATTCCCTCTTTACGTTTTATTCATTCTTTAAATTTTATTTATTGTATTTTATGTTCTTTAAACTTTCACTTTACTGCCCTCAAAATATTATTTTTATACGATTTCTATATTTTGGTTAAGTTTATGTAATTTATTAAATTTTGATAGTAATAAAATAATATAGAAAATATATAAAATAAAAATTGGAGACTACATAAATTTTTAGTTTTGGTGTCATTTTAATCGTCTTGATTCTACTGATATATTTTGTTTCAAAAATATTTATTTTATTATAATTTAATAAATTACATAAATTTGATTAAAATATATAAAAGATACAAACAACTCATTAAGGGTAAATTGGTCATTTTATTTGTTCCGTCCTGTCCAGTTCTGTCTTACCAATCGTCGAACAACTATTCTGTCCTGTCTTGTTCTGTCCTGCGATACCAAACACACCCTTAAGAATATTGCTTGTTCACTTGAAGAAATAATTAGAAAAATTAACACATCGAGTAACTTCTTTTTCTTTCTTAAAATGGGTATATTGGATAAATTTTTTGAACAGCTAAGGAGATATTGTTCATTATCTGGGATCACTTTTATAGAAAGATGGGCAGATTGATGACGATGTTAGTCATAGAATAAAGTAATGGTTGTTGACATTGTGCAAAGTTTGAATGTGTAGCATGTTTGACATGTTGAATTGAAGCTAAAAGGTAAGTTCTATGTGGCGGCAATTAAGACTTACTACACCCATAACCCATCCTAACTAAGCTCTTGAATGGCTAATCTCATACTTGAGTTGAGGTTTAAGGAGTGAAAATTCTAGATTAAGGGGCCGTCTACCAAATTCTTACTCGGGTAAGCGCTTATCAAGTTAGATTACCTTACCGTATGAATATGGCAAGGACCAAGAATTTTACCCGGTAAGAGCAAGGCAAGGACCGAGAGTCTTACCTGGTAAGTGAGGGCGATAGCTCTTACCACAGTTAGCGCTTACCGGGTAAAATTGTTGCATATGATGCCGTTTTTGTTGACTAAAATCTTATCCGATAAGTAAATGATAGTGTTTTGAATTTTACCGATAAGTACTTACCGGGTAAGTGTTTGGTAAACGGCCCCTAAGTCTCTTTACTTTTTCTATATCTCGTCTTTTCGGTTCATTCATTGTTGGTTGTCTTTAGACTTCTGTACATGCAGTAGTCACTCTTAAGTGATTTATTGGGTGGATTGTTGGGCCATCAAAGACTTGATGTTCACAAGTTGTTGTATGGTTTGTCATTTCCAAATCAGACCTTCAAATTCACTTTCTAGAAAAAGAGACGTTTATCAAGATGTAACGCCCCAATCCATGCTGTGGTGTGTTGTATGCATTCATTAAAAGTGTTTATGTAAATATAGAACTCGTGGAAGCGTTTGTATATATTTCAAAACACAGAGTCGTGTGCGATGAACTCGTTTACAAACACTTGTTTACTAAAGATATCTAATACATCTTACTACCCAAAGTTTAGCTTAAACCGCTTATCATTTAAGAATCAAAACAAAACCATTCGAACTCCAATTTGCTGAACCTTCTTAAGCATCTACAAGCTAACCTGTTCAACATATTCTCTCCTTGTGTCAGTTTTGCTTTTGCTATACATGCATACTTGTTAAGCAGAAGGCCGTGTGATATGTACATGGTTTTGCATTTTCAAAGCATAAGTTCATTTTCCATATCTTTCTTAGTAAAGGCCTTGTATCGTGCTTCTTTAACCAAAATTAAGAAAAGTTCTATTCTTAGGGCCTTAACCCTGGTTGGCTTCTCTTGCTTTTTTCTGCTTAATGCATCGACCATGAGATTTGCGTTACCCAGATGGTATTGTATTTTACAAACCTAGTCTTTGAGCATCTTCATCCAATTGCCTCACATCATACATTTACCTTAGCAAAGTGTGTTTCCAATATTACATCCATATTTCTTACCTGCATATCTTCTACTAACTACCCTGCGTGACATAATCTTAACATACAAAATTTTAGGTGTCACAGAACTTCTACTACATACATGCTTACAAACTATATACAATCATCCACATTGGAATCATTTCCCTACGAGTAACAATGCAATCATTTCCGTCCACCTACGAGTATATTTACAAGCATGCAATTTGTCCTCGACAGTTTTGTTCAGTTCTTTCTGAGTGAGATATACTTGGCTCATTTGGTTTGGTTTTTTATTTATGTTCAGTTATTTCTAAATAAGGCACTGACCTGTTGGTTACTCTACCATCGGTTCTATATATCTTTTCAAAGAAAATATTAATTCTGTTCATATTTTGCAGGTTCTGCAGTTGGTTTCAAGTTGGACAGCCTTTTGAAACTCACTGATACACGGGCTTCGAACAGCAAGATGACTTTAATGCATTATCTCTGCAAGGTACTAGGCACTTTAGTTTCAGTATTGCTATTTATACAGCTTTGGCTTCTGAGAAATTTGGGAGCAAAAGTGTGTTCATATGCACTTCATTTTTAGCTGTTTTACTTGCATTATTGCTATATTGCTTCATGACAATGTGGCTTACTTATTTCATCTCCAATTATATACAAGTTACTTCAACTGGAGATGGCAAGTGTATCATGGTGTTCACAACAATCAGTACTTATCAATTCTATCACGGGTGTTATACAGGTTCTTGCCGCCAAGTCACCGGCCCTTTTAGATTTTCATGTGGATCTTGTTAGCCTCGAGTCTGCAACTAAGGTTTGCTTTTACCCATATTCTTAAAATTCGATCACTGATATTGTTGGCAATTAAAATGATAAACCAGAGGCCTTCCTTGCAGATACAATTGAAGTCTTTAGCAGAAGAAATGCAAGCCATTATTAAGGGACTGGAAAAGGTTAAGCAGGAACTAACTGCATCTGCAAATGATGGCCCAGTATCTGAAGTTTTCCACAAGGTAATCAGATATCTTTATGCAATCGAGACTACAAGTTTGTTGAGAATTGTCACTTGAGAACCGTGTATTTGCATTTACTAATTTTACAGTCTGCTGAGTAATTCTTTTTCTTCTAATTGTTAGACATTGAATGAGTTCATTGGCTTTGCTGAATCAGAAGTGTCGTCTGTAACAAATTTGTATTCTGTGGTGGTAAGAACCCTTACAATTGAAATTTAAAATTTGGTATTATCTAATGGTAGCATCTTTCCCTTTTCTCATTGCAAAGTTTACTTTGGTTTTTTCATTTTTTTTTTGTATTACAGGGTAGAAATGCTGATGCATTGGCGCTATATTTTGGTGAAGACCCTGCTCGTTGCCCTTTCGAACAAGGTAACATTTTCACGTACTTGGAAGGAGAGTTATTCCCTGATCTGGGTGGATTTGGTATGCGGATCAAGATGAAATAGGACAGACCAAAAACTTCTTGTCTCACGTTTGACATGACATTATAATGGGATGGGACAGGATAGGACGGGACTAACTGCACAAAAATGCATTTTTTTTTGTGTCCTAACAAGTTGGTGGAACAAAATTCAGGGAGATAAAAAACAAGACTGGTAAATTACTAAATTACCCATGTCAAAATAAAACCCTTTAACCTTCTACAATTCTTTCACTTGCCTCTTCCGTATCCTGTCTAGTCCCATCCGTGTGCCAAATGCACCCTGTTAGAGAGACTTTGCAAATAGATGTTTGTTTAAATACAATTGTCTATGCTTGAATATGCTTAAAGTACAGTCACGATTCATGGCCTACTAAAGAGAAAGAAACATACACAACAATTCCCACGACGTTAGGGGTTCAGTTTATTCCAATACTCTAAGGAAAAAAACAGAAGGATGATACTTGATTTATGCTTATGCAGTTACTCAGACACTTCTGAACTTTGTGAGGCTGTTCCGGAAAGCTCATGAAGAGAACTATAAACAGGCTGAACTAGAAAAGAAGAAAGCTCAGAAAGAGGTTGAAATGGAGAAGGCAAAGGGTATTAACTTAACAAAGAAAGTTGAGAAATAAGCCACAAGACTCGGTTTATTTATTTAAACCTTGAATCTGGATCCGATAGAAGGGTCAATGCAAGCCACAGGCAGGCACAGGTGAAAGGTTGTTGATTGAACAACGATGGTTGTATGAACTCAAAAGGGGAAAGGAAGCAATCAGAAAGCCGAGTTCCTGGAAACAGCTCAGCTGTAAATAGACAGAGCAAGATGCTGTTTGAAGATGGAGCTGATCCAGATGGTTGTTGATATCTGACCTTAAATCGTAAAAGGTTTTGGCATCGGATTGCGGTTGGTTAGACTTTTGAAATAATGGTGTGATGCCATGTGAAGTTACTAGTAATACTAATGTAGAGTAGTCATTAACCATGTGCATATCTCTAACCCCATACTAACATATTTGATTATTCTCATTGTATTAGTACAAGAAATTGGTCATTTTTGACCACAAAATTTGTTGTATATATATGAAAAGTAGATAGGTAGGTATTATAGGATGATAGTTGCAAGTTGTTTAAGGTTGTAACAAAAGAGAGGTAACATTTTGCTGATTTCAGAATGAGGAAATTGTTGGTTTTGCATTGTTTTTTTTTTATTAACCTGGATATCCAACCCGCTATGCGAGCCGATTAATCCCAGGGTGACCACCTGTTTTGCAGTCCGAAGTCACCACATTTGAATCTCAGTGGTTGTAAGGGGATTTTTATTCCTCCTTGGATTTAAACCATAACAACACCTTAGAACAATCTTTTTCTTCGAACAAAATGATTATGATAAAAGGAAAATAGGAAAATGACGTATTGTAAGCAACATTTAATGCCCGACTAAAGGAGCATCCAACCTAACGACATCTTTTCATGAGTATGCAATATTCCGCCATTAATAGTTAAAAGAGATACAATTATATAACATGTCGTGTCTTATTTTGTAATATGATAAATTAAAGAAAAATATTTTTCAACCAACTTTTTTGAATCTAACGTACCAGATTTATCTAAAACATGTCCCTTTTCAAGATTTTAAAATACCAGGTCAAAACGATATACATATATATATATATACATGTATATATACGTATGTATAGATAAATTTGTGTATTCTGATAAATAATATTGTTATAAATTTAATGATTTAGGAAGGGGTGAAGGGGTTAAAAGATTGGGAAGGACCCCAAAAATGGCGACAACAATGTGTTTGATGGTTGCAAGTCTTTTTCTTCATTGGGTGTTAATGACTTCAAATCAAAGATGTTTGTTTTTCTACGTTACTCTTGTCGTTTTCAATTGCAACCCTTCCTTTTCTTTTCAAAATTTTTGTAACATACACACACACATATAAGTCTATACATACATACATACACATACATACACACATATATATGTAGGGGAGCGTTCAAATAAAAACTATCTAATTTGTACAAACCGTACAAACTTCATTCAACTAATCATAATTTTTCATTTTGTTCATTTTTTTGTAATTATGAGAGGTTGATTAATCATTTTTATTGTGGATGATGTTAATCATGGATATTATCATCTT